CTATGGATAAAAACTATCCAAGAGACACAAAATCCCCAAAAGACACAAAAAACAAAAAAGTCACAATTCCTCTTTGCCAGTTTCTCATAATCCACTAATATCAGGCCCCAGATAACTGGCAAAAAACATTAAAAAACAAATATTTTGTTATTTATTCATGCTACAACTGACACTTCCAGGAAACTGTCATCTTTGCACTACTGTGATGTGATTGGCTAGTGCCCACGCTTGAGTGTTTGTTTGCACACGATTTATATAGCTGCTGCCTGTTACCACATAACAGGTTGAGTTCTGCTCAGCTTCTGCCATATCTGCGCTGACGACACAATGGAACGGAACCACAACGCAATTTGGCATTGCATGGTCTTTCATAATTGAAATAAAACGAGCAGCGTTTCCATTAAAGCAACATACGTGAGAGTTCTGTGTTACGTGGCTACTGTAAAGCTACAGCTGCTCTGTCAACAGACCTCAACGTCCCCCAGGTGAGCTCAGCACATTCAGGCTGTTTTAATCACCTGCCTCAAAGTCACATTAGCTCAACGAGCCGGCACACGCAGCCCCATCAACACCTGTCACCCTCCACTACTGTAACTGTCACTGGAAAATCAACACGGATAACTTGATGTTTAGAGGCTTCGGTGTGTCACTATGAAGTCAAACACACAGCAGCTGTTGTGTAGGAACACAAAAATCTGCACATCACTGTCCTTTCCATTGTGTAGCGAGCGTGAGCCAATTAAAACGACCCAGTTCTACACGGGAGAATCCTTTTGGTAGCTTTGGCTCTTTCTGCGTCCAATCAGTGTCTGCAGCCTCCACAGGGGTCCTCCGAGTGTTCATGGTACACAGAGTGGACGGTGGTCAATTATAGGAACACCCACACTAAGGTATGTGCCAGCCTAACAAATGCAACCATATGAGAAACTGGTGGAAATGTATCAGCTTGAGCCGATAGAGAAGATGAATTCAGCTCAATGAAGTGAGTCAGAAGACGAACAGCGTCAGGATATTTTCTCTGCAGCAGATTGTACTGGTGACAAGAAAGAATTAAGACTAACATGTGTACCTTTAATGTGTTTAGCTCATTGCTCTGCAGGAGGAGAGAAAACTTAGGCAATTATTCTAAGTGAACCTGGATTAGAGCAAAAACGATTAGTTGCTGAATCAATTAGTCAAATAGAAACAATTTTGATAAATAAATGATTAAATGATTCATATCATTTCTAGAGCAAGGATATAGGGATAAAAAGGTGAATATTCTCTGTTTAGTTTGTTTGAATTAGCCTGCTGAACATTTTACCCTATTGAGCCTAACTACACAACAACAATAACAACACTCATCATTATCATCAGAAAATGATAAGACACGAGAAAACAGCGTTACAACAGCTTCCAATGGCTTGAATCATCAGTGTGTTAATAAAGTGCTGGTTTATAGGCAAGCCTTAATTTTAAAATCCTGGGCGTCATTTTATTAATGTCATTGTGACACAAATACTTTGGTATTAATGAGTACAGCCTGACAGATATTGATTTTTGGGGGCTGATACACACACTCACATATATCACATATATATATTTATATACCATTATAGCAATACTAGAGTAAAAACCTTCCTATACCGATCTTCTTGCGAATTAATATATATATGTTTTTTTAAACTGCCAATCATTCCTAATACGTCATCATCAAACCCTTATGACAAATAAATATAATTGGGGCTTAATGGTTTACAGTTTAAACATTAATTTTATTACAAATAACAATAAATAAAAACAACACATTTAAATAAAACAAATATATTTGCAGGGGAATTAAAAAAGTATAATGTTTTCACATTTTCTTTTTTAGAAGTTCTTTGACTTTGACTTCTTTACTTCCAGATATCTGCCAGATCTCTGAGACTCCTCTGCCTTTGCATCGCTAGTTAATTCACATGCAGCAGCCTGCCAGCAGTGCTGTTTGTCCCACTGCTGGACAACCACTGTTTAATTTCTTGTTTAGTTAATCAGGCAATACATAATTAGAATTACCCTAAGCTCTGTGAGTTATTCTGTGAAAAGGGATATGGCTGGCTCGCAAGCATCAGCTGACACCAGAGCCAAGTGGCTCCCGTCTCATCATGAAGCAGCCGTCACTGAACACAATCAGCTGAGGACATGGTAATATTTTAATAGCCGAGCCGAGGAGAAAGGCATTCTCACATGAGGAGGGTGAGGTTGGCACGCTAACCTGACTCTACAGTAAGACCGCTGGCTGCCAAGTCGCCTAGTCACTTATGAGAGGCAGTAATGTGTTACAGCAGGAACATACTGCCTGATACTGTATCACTGAAATGTTCAGCATCGTCGCGTAGAAGCAAAAATGAAAGGATCCTAGAGGCAGCTGAGAATTAACACATTGATTTAAACGTTTCATTAGCAACGTATGGGTTTCCTCATGTGAAGCCAACATGCATTTCTTTAATAGAAGCTGAGTCTTCTTGGCTCATTTGAAGTCATATCAGACAGACGGGCAGCGCGGTTTAGTGCAGCAGTTTCTCGATCCGCTAATTCTAAAGTTTCTGACAGGCAGGATTGGCTTTTGACAGGCTGCTTAGCTGCTGTTGAAAACATAAAAAGAAATCCATCATGCAAATTGAGAAATCCACTTGATCACCAGAACTGGAGGCGACTGTGAGTTGCTTGTCAGCGAGCCACAAAACTGAGTTCATCCATTTGTTTCATTCCATTTAGCAGTTACACCAAATCAACAGCAGATGTAATGTCACGCCAGAGTGGTTCCCATGCACATGACAACAACACAGATTTTAACTCAGGTGTCCTGTGCTTTGTTGAATAATGAAATACACAAATGCTTTCTAAGTAATTTCAGCATCTGAAAGTGAGCTGAAGATGGATAGGATTGTTTGAACCAAACAAATCCTGACACAACAGACACAAGCTGTAAAAACCTATGATTTCTTCACCAGAGTAAAGACAACATCTGGTCAGACGTGACGCAGCAGCACTGTTGACAAGATCGTCCAAGTCAGAAGAGCCTAAAGGCCTTTTATAGAAGTGAAGCCTAAATGATGCAGAGTGTTTAAAAAGAGGAAAATTCATGATGTTTAACACTTCTTGTCAATATTTGTGTGTGATTATGTAACGTGATAGCATCCAGCTGGAAAACAGCTGGGAGTTTTGGCTCCGAATGAACAGTTTCAAGTACAAACCCTTTTTATACACAGTGACCGTTCAACAAAAAGCAAAAGCAAAAAGCAAAATTAAAACATTTAAATTGTAATCTTTAATTTTGACAGGTATTTAGTGTAAATTTCAGGCATAATTAATGAGCTATTCTGCCAATTTATTTGAATTTTAGTCAGTTTCTCACATAATATGTTGCTAAATTAATGCTCACAAGCCATTCCAGGAAAAAAAAAGCCAATAATTGATAGAACTTAAATTGTATATTTCACCATTATATAAGTGATTGCCCAAATATGTCTGGTGGGATTCCATGTCCAGAATCATTAAAATGACATCCTGCACTTTCAGGTATAAACACATGGTTTTATATTTTTTATATTTCATGTCACAAGGGACAATAACCATCAAAAGGAAGCAAAGAAAAAAAACTTACTTGAAACTCAATTTAAGTCATTCAACCGTGCAACAACATTATGCCCTCTTAAGATGAGGAGTGCTCTGCTGTGTGGTGGCTCAAAGGGGACATCTAGTAAAGAACACAAGCCGTGGCAGCCACTTTGAATTTCAAAGCAATAGAAAAATTCCATATTTCATGTAGTGTCAGCGTGCTCTCGCTCCCGCAAAACTTCGTCTGAAGAAGTGGGGGGAGGGGTCAGACATAAATAGACTCATAAGTGCCAATAAGTCTTATGAGAGGACCGAATCATGAATCTGAGTACAATTCAAGGTGGATTAGAATCTGGTGTAAATGAAAGCCTATGAGAAAGGTAGGGCCGGGCGATGAAATTATATCAATATTTATCGCAGTATAAGTTTCATCAATAGCAAAAAACAAAAGTCCAAATACGAATTGATGTATTGATTATGCGTTGTGCTGGCACATTCAAAACATTAATGATCTAAGATTTGTTAAACTCGAGCCCGTTCTAAACTTGCCTGTTAGCTTCGCCTGTTCTGAAGCTCAGCTGCTGCTTCAGAATTATTCCTTGTCATTTGTGTGTCCTCCTCAAACATTTCTACAATATATGGTCACTTTTTTTATTGTTTGCATGCTGGCCGTTGTCTACAGAGCTTTTTTATTCACGCTCAAGGTGAAGTTACAAAACTTTGTGTTCATCCTACCTGGTTTATGTGCAATTAAGATTTTATACTCACACACACAGCGAGTGCTACACAGCTCCGGTCGGCTGTTCAATGCATTTTTACTGATATTTAACATAATGCAAATCTCACCAAACTCTGCAGTGCACTTTCCATGACCTCTAAGAATGCACAAGCCAAGTCAAACGTCGATTGAATGAACGGTTTTCGATATGTGCTTCCCACAGACAGACAGACAGAGAGACAGCCAGACATTTGTGGTATTTGTATACAGGTAGATGTTTTAAAGAGTAAGTCATTAAGAAGGGATTGAAACCACAACCCTCCCTAATGGAGCAACAGAACTTAAAATGCATAATAATGTGACTTTTATTGTGATAATTACTAATAAGAATCCATGTGGAAATGTCTATATTTCTATTTTTGGCCACATTTTCCAGCCCTGCTGAAAAGTCACACAGGTGAACTCTCTTTACTCTGTTGAATTCGACTTAAATCACTTAATTGATCACGTGTCACAATTCAAACTCAAGATTCTGTTAATTGGAGAAAAAAAACTGCTTCAAAAGTGGAGTTTGGCGTTAGAGAAAGGTTTTCAGTGAAATGTCAGGGGAGCATGCAGAATGAGGAGAGACCACCTGCAGCCTGGCTTCACTCGCTGCAGCAGCTTAACGAAGCGTCGAGTGAATTAATCAGCTTATTACCTTGAAAAATCCACATGAACATCAGCACCGCGCGAAGTCTCGTCTTTATCTCCATGGCGCCACATCCACCGGCTCCTTCAAAGTTCACACAGAAACTAACGCGGGCTTCACTTCCACAGAATGATCGCTGAGTCTTCAGGTGACGGTGTCCTCTGTGAGAAGCAGCGGGAGCACATGGAGCCTCCTCTCCTCCTCTCTGCCATCCCGCCTCCTCCTCCTCCTCCTCCAGGCAGCGGCTCACATCACCGGGGCGCACCGGCGGCTCCGCGCCTCACACCGGGGGAAGGAATGGAGAAACGCTCGCTTCTTCTCTTGCTCTCATTCCTCGCTCCCCTCGGGTCTCCTCCACGTCTGCTGCCTCCGCTGGGCTCCACTGAGTGAGGCTGCCTCGTGTCCTCCTCACTTAGTCAAACTGTAGGAGCTTATTCACCTGCAGGAGCTGCTCGGTGACGCCCCCTGCCTCCAAATGCTCAACTGCAGCTGGACAGTCAGACAACACTGGGAAAAGTTCATGTGAACAGATCAGGGACAATCATACACGTGTTGATAAGTAGACAGCCTGATAATACATCAAGAGTAAAAGTATTGTCCAAAATCAAATACTGCATTTTGTATTTTGTGGAACTGCTCACTGGCGTTAAATACCTCAACAAAAGTGGTGAATCACAAAAGAGTGAGTTTCATTAAAATCTTGGTTTTGTTGCTGTTTTTAATTCAGCAAACTAGACACACTGCATGCTCACACTATTCGTGGATCATGATGATGGACCGTGATCGTGTTGGCATCTGATCATGGACCATGATTACAACAAGGCTACTTGATATACAATATGTCTACTCACATATTCTACAATTGCTGACAATAACTCCTCAAGTCATTTGTCACTGCTGCTCCCTTCATATTTTCTTATGTAAATGCTTTAAACATTGACACACTTTTCCATTATGGTACAAACTGTTTCCTCTTGTTGAGGGTTTAGAACAGAGGATGTCGCACCTCGTATGAGACAAACTGTGAATCGTGAATATGGAATATACAAATAAGATTTGAATGATTGATTGATCGACAAATTTAATTCAACACAGAAAGGTTGTTCTTATTTTCTGTTCCATTTCTCCGAGAATGTTCTTGATCCACATCTTTCTCTGGGCAATAGCTATATGATTGTTTCCTGCACCCTGAACATGACCTGATGGGTATACAACCAGAGGGGACCATGCTGAAGGATGTGTGTTTTTCTATTATTGTCTTTTATCACAGACAAAAATAATGATGTTTGTGTCACCTTTTTGGTATTCATGCCTCAAGGATCAAATCAAATTGTCTCACAGCTGCACATGGGCTGAAAACTGGAGGAACGTACAGAATATAACAGAAAGTAGCGTAATGTAATGTGACATAACATAACATAACATATGGAGACATATTTCAAGCGATCCGATGAATATGATTTCAATACTCACTCTCCATTTAGCTCAGTTTTGGTCTTCACCAGCTCCTGCTTTTGTCCCCAGCAGCTGTTTGCTCCACTTTCTTCCCCAGCTACTTGTTAAATTTGTCTTTCTGCTGTTTGGTGCAGGACACATGCAAGTAGTGCACAGTGAGTCTTTTGTTTTGAGCCTGAAAACAACTTCCTGCTGTGGTAGGGGCTGAACAACAACAGCTGAGGTTGTGCTCTAGAAAACCAGTTCCAAAAAGGGTTGGAAGATACTGGAAAAAGCAGAGTTATCAGTTTCTCATACAGTCACTGCACTCATTGTTAAGTCCACAACAAGGTCAGTGAAGTCATGTTTATGAGTATTAATCTGAGAATAATGGAAATACTACTCAGTGGTGGATTTGATTTTAATATTTTACTTTTACTGTTTTATCTTGAAACACTAAAACCCATAATGACGTCACTCAATTACCCTCGGGTCCAAATAAATGTAAAGTCAACTCAATTACCATGCACTTCCTGAAGTATTAGAAAGTCTCATTCAGAGCAGAGACAAGTGTCGCAGGTAAAGGTCTCACAGGAAAACACTGCAGCCACTTACACAGGAGAACAGGATGCATCTGTGGGGTTTTACATTGTAATGCAAGTCTCAGGTCCTGGCTCAGCTCACAATAAATGGATTGTCAGGTGAAATATTAATGCAGATGGAGCCATGTGTTTTATTTTTAATGCAACATAATGGATTTATTACATGATATTAAGCTTCACATGTTTTTGAAGGCATGACCTGCACCTCCATGTGAAGTCAGGTTCACAATTAAACACATTCAGACACATGAAGAAGGACATGCAAGGTTCTCTCTTTGTTTGCGCGTGTGTATTCGTGTATGTGTTGATATTTTTCATCTGCTTCGAGTTCTGTCTGACAGGCAATTATGCTCCTGACTTATTTATGTTGTTCTCATATTGTGGAACCCGCTGTCCCTGTCTCCTTCTATAGACGGATGTTAAGGTCAGACCTGGTGCAAAGTTTCCCTGAAAATTGTGCAATTGTTTTATCCAGACAGAAGTCAGATCCAACTCAATACTATTTTGTAAAACAGCTCGTGAATTTTCCTGACCTTGAAACACAAGGTCGGGACAAACTGTGCATTTTACTAAATATTTATCAATACAGTACAAGTATGTAAGTGCAAGCTTTGCATTTTTTGAAGTACTTTTTGAAGTATATGATCAATAATTTTGGATTAATGAATATTACTGGATGGAAAATGGGCTAAAAATATGTATTATGGCAGTTCAAATAGTGAATGTCTTATTTGGAGTATTTATAAAGAAAAAAATCCCTCTAGATTACAATGTCAAAAGATTTTTAAGAATTGACTTATTTCCATTAGCTAGGTTCACCTTGATAAAACATACGTAGTCTAAGACAACAGCACAAGAATAAATACTTCCTTCATGAAACAAATATTTTTGTATTTTCGTTCTATCTGTCTATCTATCTGTATATCTATCTATCTATCAGTAGATCTGTACCCTGTATTTAATATGTACTAGGTAAGTAAAGGAGTATTTACATTTTAAGATGTATTTCTAACCCCATCCATAGAATCTAAATTGTTTCTTAAGATCTGACTTTCATGTCTACATTTGTGTTTGAGTGTGTGTAAAACATGTAGATCTTGGAAACCCGAACATTACAAATGTAATGTCACTGCTCTGTGTGAATAATTGATTGCTTCAGCGTGAAAGTAGCACCGGTATGAAACTGCACATCTTGCACGTTCAGGCCTTTTCCAACCCTGTTTCCCTTCAATGAGCCACATCATCTGCAGGTCAGGTAGATTTTTACAAATGAATTCAGCAAAAGACCACTTGTGCTTTCATGCAGCGCTGCAAAGACACTGAAATGACAGAATCTGATCTTCACTGGCATTTAGTAAGAAAAATGTTTCTGGGGTAGAGGTCCATTTCTTCAGCATCTCTCTGATTTGTGTCACTTTCAGCAGCTATCTATACGAGAAAAAACCCTCCCTGCCATATTCCTGAATACATCTATTGTTGAAGTTGGCGGAGATGCTGTTATCTCACTGCCAGATGGTGGAAGATGAATTTAGCCTTGACAGTCGACTCCTACAAAGCATGACAGCACTTCTTTGTGGAGACCATATCCTCTTGTTGCACTTTGTTACCAATTAATTCATGTAAAAATATTAATCCATGCAGAAAAATGGCCCCTGTGTGACTCTTACTAGCATCATTATTATACATGATATTGTAATTTGTATAAACTGATGCATATCTGTAGGTAACGTGCTGTTTACTCTTGTAGCTGCTTGAGGTGGACCTATTTAAACCACTTCAGATAGAGTATTTGAATCCAGTGTCACAATTTAGGGGGTGGGCCTCTCCAAAAGTTCACAAGATAAATGTGAGAGGTCGTTAGATGATAAATGAAGAAGAAAATAAGAGAAAAACAGTTTGCTCCATATATTATTGTGATTATACTTTTGTATTTTTTTAAGTGGCATCTTATATTTTAGACTATAATGTATCTTAAACATTATTTTGGAACTATCAAGTAATTATACCTGTCAAATTAAAGGTACATGATGCAGCAAAAATAGCAATGTTTTCCTTTTAAATGTAGGAATGAAGGAGTATCAGAAGTACTATGTATTTCAATATCTGAGCAGCATGATGGATTGCTGGTATTTCTACCAAGTGCAGAGTTCAGATTAGTGTGTTCTTTTGTGCCACCTAGTGGTGTAACCCCTGAAGCACTGGAGCAGTCACTGTGTCCATACACCTGCTGTTTTATTTTTAGAGATGTGTGGGGGTGTAACCTGCAGGTGATAAAGAAATCAACAGTGGACAGGTCAGCAGTCGCTCTCAGGGCTAATACAGATTGACAGACAATCATTCGCTTCATGCTCGTCAATTTGATGCCTCAACTCCTGACCTGAGTGTCTGTGGACAGAGGCGGGGGACGTTCATAGTGACAACATGCAATGTCTTCAAAGAAAGGGCCACAGCAGGGAATCAAGCCTGTGGAACTTATTGTCAAAATATGTCCGGCTGTGTACTGTGCATGTTTTACTGAACCCAAGTAGATAGGTGTCCTGAATACAGGTTGTAATTACAAACCGAGTTCAGATTTTTTTATTATCAGTTGGGATGTTTGAAGAGATCACCAGGCTGTCTTTATATAACAATTCTGCCAGTTGATCCTTTTCATCTAAATTTTACACACTGACACACATCTAATTATTTTTTTCTCCACTGTAATTTCTACAATTTGACAATAACAGTTTTTAAAGATGAATGACTTTAATTGACCTCGTTGATAAATCACAGCATGTACTGAATTCAGCTGCCACTCCTTCTTTTAATTGAAATGACATTTTTGCTGCATGAGGAAAACTTGAATATCTTTTCACATAAAAAATAACAGACGGAGGTCAGGAATATTGATTACTTGACATGGAAAGACTTTAAATTAGAGATCTGTATTTGCATATGTGTCAAACAAATATGAGAATTGATCTTTTTTCAGCTCAATAAAGAGAAATGGAATTGAATTGAAAATGTACCTGCATATTTTGTAATGAATTTCTGTTATAATTGTAAATTGCAAATTAGTCTCTCTGGTCTTTGAGTGCTGGAAGCATCTGTGTATAAAGTGACAGGAGTTTGAAGAATTCTTGCCATTTGTTCTGGACACTGACTGCTTCCTTCTTATTTCAATTAAAAATGTTGTTACGGTGTACTTCTAATCTCAGACGCTGAGTGTGTGTGTGTGTGTGTGTGGCTGCCACATGTTTGGTGATAAAACTCTTCTGTCATTTATCAGTCTTCACCATCATTACAGAGATGAGATTTGGACGAGCTCATGGGATATGAAAATGACCTCATGTAAGACTGAGATGTACATCAAAGATTTTTTTATTTCCGGGAATGATAGGCTGTGATTCTGCTTCAGTGCTGCACAATAACACATATCCACTTTCACTCTCTATGAGTTTAAATCTGAATTTTTACATGATGAAATTCCCTTTTTTAGTCGAAATTATGTTTCAGCCCTCTTGCACTGCTGTAATCTATCCCATCATCATTGTGTGTCCCTCCAAAGGCCTCAAACTGCTGTGATTCTGATTTTAATCTTAACTGCCAATTTGCTTCACACTAGCATTGCATCTGTTTTACGCTCTCTCCCCATGACGCTGTACATGACAAGTGCTTTTGTAGCTCAGCACGACAGACACTCTGAAACCGTCTCTAAAATCTGTGGAGGAGCTAAAATGTTTTTCCTGTGTGGAAAGATGAGCGTGATTAGAATTCGCAGATGAAGAGGAGCATGAGAAGATATAATATATAATATATAATATCAGCCTGGAGAGGAAGCTTTGACTCACCCTCTCATGATGAATTTCTTTTAAAACAAGGTGACGACCAACTGAGACAGAGCGAGTGATCGAAAATAGTTCAATTTTTTAAAACTTCCCACTTATTAACAAAGACATACATGAAATATCTGACACCTGTAGATTTAGAAAATAGAAACACTGAGCAACATGTGGCCGAACAATAACAAGTCTTGAAAAAGTGTCCCGTATGGATTTTCATGATTGATGATTGATGATTGATTTCAGTCTAATTGTTTCTCACTTCAGTCATTAGGTGGTAAATCACTTGGTCCTTGAACGTCACAATATAATGAGAAATATCCTGGTTGTTGCTGGTGGAAACAAAGTATTGAATGTACTTTACTGGAGTAATGTCTTTTCATGTCACTTTATACTTCTAATCCATTACAGAAGAAGATACTTGTTACAAAATGTAGTGTTGTGTTGCAGATTTATCATCTTTGTAAAATCTGAAAATGCAGATCTTCATATTTTCATGCACATTTTTATTGAATGGAAAAAATGCTCAAGCTGTTGTGCATCATTTTATGCATATTTCTCTGAAGCCTTAGAGATTTGTTATCTTTGGAAAATCTTGGAAAATGTCTTTCAGAAGAAATTGCAGTGGATTTTTAGTTAAGTTCAGTTCCACAGCAGGAGGTTATTCTGACTAAACTGACATTTTAAGA